TTTGAAACAATAAGCACAGGGATTTTTTTAAACAAGGGAACAGGGGCCCTCATGCCATGGCCATGCGGCCCCTTACCCTGGGAATCAGATCCTCTGGCAATCATAAAACTCTGATTGACCAGGGATTACATGTGGCCACAGGAAGAAGAAAGAAAAAAGAAAGAAAGAAAGAAGACATGCCAGTCAAACAAGCTTGTATGTTAGATTATTATAAACTTACTTTTTGACTATATGCATACATCTGTTATTTGCATTTTCATTACCAAGAGAACGAATATTGTTTTTATAGTGCAGGGGTTAAATAAGAAAAGTGTAGCACCACATCACCTTTTTGAGCATTGCAAAAAACAGAAAATTGTTTTGTTTTTGCTTTTCTCGTATTTTCAATTTATAAGCAACATATAAAATGAGAAATGTTCAAACATAAAATGAGAAATGTTCAAACATAAAATGAGAAATGTTCAAACATGAAATGAGAAATGTTCAATCATTTCAATGCAACAAGACCAATATTAGATTCAAAATTCAACAATTCAAATTTCTCGCTAATGATCAGAGTCTAGATCAGATTTAATATTGTTTGATGTGCTGGTTTGCAATTCGTTTCCTCCTGTGAGTTATCTGACATGCATGTGAAGAGTCTGGTCCAAATAAGTCATAAGTCATGATACAGTCCAAGCATAAATTAACCTTTTCACCACCAGTTCCCTCTTTTCATCACAAATTCAAATAGTCCCGTTTATAGTCTGTACTTTGCTACAAAAGATTGGGACAAAAATAGGCAAATTTTTTGAGTAAAACTGAAAATTTACTCAAATTTTCACAGTTGGCTTCAAAATCAGGGTTCCTTTCCAGAAATATTGAAGAACATAAGAAGAAAGTGCAGAAAAATGTGTGTGCAATAAGGATAACTCTAACAATTAAGATATATGGCAGTATTGAAAGAAAACTAAGTTAGCTTGTAGCAGCCAAAAGCTATCTAAATTTTCAATTACACTTGAAATGTTGTGTAATATACAATACATGAAATCGTTGGTTTATATGCACCTCTATTGAGATGTTCTTCTAGAGAGCAAATACAGTCCCTCAAATTAGCACTGTGATCAATTTATTTGCTACAAATAGAGTGTAAACCATGAATCACCATGTTTGAGCATTACTAGGGA